ATCCGTATATTTATGATTAGTATATGCTTATATTAAAATAGAAATATTGGTTCATTTACATTATAACTTTAATATAATTTATTTTATATCAGTTTAGATTATGATGCCAAATCAAACAATTAAGTCTAATGGATTATAAACAAACGAGAAAAATATCAAGGTATCGAATATTTAATTAAGTAGAAAGGATAAGACGGTGACTGTAATTCCTGGAAACCTTTCGGCTTTCTTAATTGTGTCCAGATCCTAGCAAAATTTGGAAAGCTCTGGGACCTTGAAAACGAGAATTATAAATCACCATTGATAAGAATAAAAGAGTAAATAAAAAAACAATATTATTCTCCGTATTCTAATAAATTACCTTCCAATTCAAACGCTAAATATGAATTAGGTAACTATAATCCTCAGACTAGATATCATTTGGATTATGACTAGCAATGAGAGCCATTATACAAATCAGACATGCTCTATTCAAAAAAAGAACAAAAGAACAAGCCGTCNTCTCCGTATTCTAATAAATTACCTTCCAATTCAAACGCTAAATATGAATTAGGTAACTATAATCCTCAGACTAGATATCATTTGGATTATGACTAGCAATGAGAGCCATTATACAAATTAGACATGCTCTATTCAAAAAAAGAACAAGCCGTCCTAGCATCATCCACGTCCAGTTAAACTGCCACCACTATTCCAAAATATCTCATTAAACATCCGTATATTTATGATTAGTATATGCTTATATTAAAATAGAAATATTGGTTCATTTACATTATAACTTTAATATAATTTATTTTATATCAGTTTAGATTATGATGCCAAATCAAACAATTAAGTCTAATGGATTATAAACAAACGAGAAAAATATCAAGGTATCGAATATTTGATTAGGCAAAACAATTCCAAAATATCTCATTAAAAATCATCAAATTTATCACCAATCTATAATATAAACTTATAATAAGATAAATATTGGTTCATTTACATTATAACATCTATATTATTCATTTTTTTCCAGTTAAAGTGACGATGTCCAATCAGACAATTAAGTCATAAGAATAATAAGCAAAATTTGAAAACATTTGGGATCTTAACTGTGATGGTTATAAGTCAACTTTGATAAGATTATAAGGGTAATTAAAAAAACCATATGATTCACTATATTCAAATCCTTTACCTTCGCCTTCAAACGCTTATTATTATTTAATACTCTTCCAACCAGATATTACTCAGAATATGATTAGCAATGAAAAATATTATGAAAACCTGTCGACAGCTAGAAATAAAAGTAATCATAAATTAAAATCTATAATTAATAATCTTTTATGAGTTGGTATGAAATTTTAATTATGACTTATTTAACTTGTATAATTACTGACGTAATTATATCATCTAAACATTTAAATATTTATTATCGATATGAGTCCTTTGATGCTATATGGCGTTGTGTAAGACAATCTTTAAAAATAATACTAAACCAGAATTAGCCAATCCTATAAGATATTTTTCTATTAAATGTGTTTTGTTGTTTTCCTTTTTGTCTTTCCAAATGCAAAGCTGTAATAAATTCAATTTATTAAAATCAATTGTAATATGCATACATAAATGAAATAATTATACTTACAGTATCTTTTTTCATATAATCCATTTTCTTCGGATAGGAATATGGAGAAACCTTATCCATGTTCATGAGAATTTTACTATAAATACAATAAAAAAAAATTACTCATATGAATGTTATAATGAAATGTCAATATTTGGATGATCTTAACATTAACTGTGGATTTTGGATAGCTCTTAATTATTTGTTTTCTACTACATTATTTTAACGTTATTCAGTTTATCATGATTAAAATTAAACTAACAAAAAAAGGCCTTTTTAAGTCTTTTGTATGAGTACAACCAGGTAATTAATTATGGCGGGTATACTCATTATCTGGGAAAGAACAAATTTTTCTCCAATTTGTGTTCTAGGATATTTAAGAAACAAGCTACTCAATTATTATATATTTATGTTATTTTTTGTCACCAATACTTTGCGTAGTAATACCACTAGCTACTTTTAATTTTCAAATGGAAACCTGTATAAGGAATTTCATTTTATTAATATATAGGTTGCTATTTGAAAAAACAGAAGTAGGTATTAGTTTCGTCTCCGAAAAAAGGGTGACAAACAAAAAACATAAATATAAAATTGTAACACACTTTGTTTCTTAAATATCCTAAAAAACATATTTGGAAGAAAGTTTATAGTTTCGAGATAATGAGTGTACCCAATTAAATAGATCACCTGGTATATAAATATTATAAACCTATATATATATAGCAGCAAAATACAAATATTACACTGAAGTTTTTGGTATCTATTTATTTTTTGAGATAATGAACCTTCTGTTATACTGATGAAGAATTTTGTAATTATTTCATTAACCAAAGTAAAGGTAAGATAATGAGAACGGGTGCAGCTGTTGGTGTAGGTGGGAAGTTGAGAACATAAGATATAAATGGAATTTATTGTACATCTGTAAGTAATGATTTTTTAACATTTGATAGGCGAACTCTTAGGTAAATAAAATAATAACCTCTCTAAAGTATAAACTTCAAGAAGAATGTAGGTACCTACCTAAATTTAATAAAACAATATTTTCTACTGTACTTTTTACTTTTGCAGTGCCAGTTTTTACTATTTTATTTTTAGGTGGACCTTGTAAGAATTGAATAGAAGCAAATAGGTAGAAAGAAGGTATAGTCCAACTAGATTATCCGAAATTTGTCTATGGAAAGTAGGTTTTTCGCAATTATTTCGAAAACTTATTGGAAAATTAAAAAATGACCTCCACAATGCACCAACACATAAAAACAAATCATAACAATCTATGTTTAATGCTTACAACAAATGGAAGACTTTTCAGGGAACTTCAACAGATGACAGCTTTATGGTGGCGTTGGCGATAGTGTCAGCATGGAAATCACTAGAGTAATTCGTGATGGTCCGAAGTATAGTCATAAAAATACGAGTACCTATTATTAAAAAAAATATCATAGCTGGAATAATTAATATTTTTACGAAAAAATATAATATGGAAAAAAATTGACCTGTGTTTCAAATGACATGCTGCCGATGATGACAAATAAAAGAATCGAGGCTTCTATTGATGGAGCGCGAACGGCGAATCGGATCCGAGAACACAATTATTGGAACGCAGTGTAATCCACTCAAGATGGCTGCAGCAGCAACAAGACTGCAACAACTGCGAATACGACACTGTCCTGTAGCAACGATGAAGTTTAGATGTGGTGGGTTCTAATAGCAACTGCAGAGCGGACGGGTGCAGCCACTAGTGTTGGTCGGAAGTTGGGAAGATCGGATTTAAATGGATTTTCATGTATATCTGTAAGTAATGATTGTTTCATATTTACTGGGCAAACTCTCAGGAAAATAATATAATAACTTCTCTAAAATAACTCCCTCAGGTAAAATGTCCTTTTGAAAAAATATCTATTATAAAAAGTTGAAGCAAAATTTTACATATATAATACATATAATATTATATACTCATATTTTATGAGATAACTCCACAAAAACTCGAAAAGTTACCTATCTTAAGTACCGCCTCACACCTATTGGGTTCAATCCAACCTTACAAAAACAATCAATGATTCAAGGCGACCTGGGAGAAAATGTAGTTAACATGATGATTTTCAAACCCCGATAGGGCAGGAATTTTCAGAAGAAAGTATCTAATTAAATTTAAAGAAACAGTATTTTCCACAGTACTTTTTATTTTTTCCTAGTCAGTTTTTATTATTTTATTTTTAGTTGGACTGTGTCAGAATTGGATAAAAGCGAATAGGTAGAAAGAGGGTATAATACACCTTTGGTGTACTAAGAGTGTGTTCTGTTATGTGATTTGTTCATGATTTTCTCATCAAATACTTTTCATCAATAATTAGAGCTCGTCGACAAACAAAAATAAATAATCAATAGGTATTGTAGATTATCCGAAAATTGTCTATAAAAAAGTTGTTTTTTCCAATTATTTCGAAATTTTTATGGAAAATTAAAAAATGACTTCCTCAAAGCGACAAAGAATAAAAACAAATCATAATAATAGATGTTTAATGCTTACAAATAGATGATTTCTCGTTAACTACAATGGACGGTGGCTTTGTGGTGGCGTTGGCATTGGCATTGGCGTTGGCGTTGGCGATGGCGATGGTGTCAGCGTGGAAGTCACTAGATTAAGTCGTGATGGTTGGAAGTATAGTCCTAAAACTACGAGTACCTATTATTAATATAAGTATCAAAGCTGGAATAATTAATATTTTAACGAAAAAATATAATACGGAAAAAAATTGACCTGTTTCGAATGACATGCTGCCGATGACGACAAATAGAAGAATCTAGGCGTCTGCTGAAAGAGCGCGAACGGCGAATCGGATCCGAGAAAACAATTATTGGAACGCAGTGTAGTCCACTCAAGATGGCTGCAACAACTGCGAATACGACACTGTCCTGTAGCGACGACTGTGGGGACGACACTCGAGACTGTTTTGTAGCAACGATGAAGTTTTGACGTGGTGAGTTCTAATAGCGACTGCAGAGCGGACGGTGAAACAGCAGATACAGTGTTTGTACCCCACCACCGGGTTGTCGTCATCCTGCAACGCTGTCAGTGGATGGAAGGGTCGTCGTACAATTGGCTTCGGTTGCGAGGGACGGCGGTAATACGGAGAGCGGCACGGCGGTGGCAGCTGTTTGTCGACAACAATTGTTTGTATTTCCATTAAAATTCTATTTAGAAAAAAAGACTGACCATAATTGAAATCCGTGAGATTTACGAGCCTACAGACCGATGTGTAAAATGTTTCATTGTATTATACGACGCACGGGAAATCGGGTACGCGTTCGAAAGGGAGCTGCAGTTGCGCACACATCGACCGAGTATTATCGCCGCAACGTTGGACAAACAGAGAAATTTAAAATATCATGCGACGTTGCCACGTTCTCTTTTCATAGCATACACGGGTTACATATCAGTGCGACGGCGCTCAACCGCCACGTCTTGTTTTGCGCATGCGTGCGCGTGAACAGTTTCAACACAGTGTAATAATATTGTAAGCCGTCCGTTTTTATTTGATTTAATGATCACTTCCTGACGAATGTCGAATATGGAATTACGAAGACCAAAATTACTATAATGAACATAATAATATTATGCATGATGTAGGTACTTATATCATAATATTTATCTCATTTCTGAATTATGCCTTGGAAAATCGTATGGGAATCTATTTTAATATTGAATTTACGATATCAAAGACATTTTATTAAATTAATTTTAACATTATTTTTAATTAGTATTATCGTTTATCTGTTCATTTTTTCTAGGGGGAATGGGAGGGGATATATTAACGATGATAAATAGATAAATCTGAGATAAAACAAGATAAATCTGTCCACCTGTAGGGTAGGGCCATCGAAGACTAAACGCGTTCTATTACATATACTCAGTAGCAGTCGTCTGTATAAATCAAAAAGATCGGCGTCAGCTAGCGGAGTAGAAAAAAAAAAAAAAAGGGGAGAACAAAAATATTACGCGTGTACACCTAGATACGATCACCATACGTACACGCAATATAAACAATTTCATCATAACATTATAAATTTTGCCACAAATTAAAACTCTTAATGAACCTCCTATTAAATTTTAAAGCATTTCTGTTCAAGTCTAATAATTTAACCACAGAGTACCTACCAAATAAATATTACGTACAAAACTCTCAAATATTTATACCTATATTATTATTAATATTTTTTATTCTTTGGGTTTGGATCAGTGGCGAATCCAGGGAAGCACAGAGGCACGTACCGTCTTGTCAATGAACTACAGTTTTTATTTATATATTTCTATCCGAAGACTTACTTTACATGCATTATATTAAATTGTATACACATAATATACCCTGCAACTGTCTGTATAAATCACAACGGCTGTCGATGAAATAAAATGGGGAAAAATATCATATACGTACGAAAATCGATAATAATACGACAGAGGTTCCCAATTTATTTTGACTTACGGTGTTCTAAAATGTTTTCTAAAAATCCGATGACATGATGGTATAATATGTGAAAGACAATAACCACACACGGTATTCGTATAATGTAATGCGTTTAATCTATACATGTAAAATCCAAATACCACTGACTGACTGATCGCTGTATCTGAAAAACTACGTATCGTACGGACTTGAAATTTGGAATATAGGTTCTTCTCATATTTTCACCGTGCAATAAGGAGTAATTTTCAAAAATTTTGCGTTTTAGTGGAGTAATTAACAATTATAATTATTCACCGCCAATACGTATTGTGCGGCACGGCGGCCCGCGGGTCTCCAGCTACCTGCAACCTATCCTTTTTGTTCGTCGACGTCCGGTCGTCGTGTAGATAAGAATAATTGTTCCGAGAAGTTTATCCATAAAAATAATCTCATGAATCGCACGTACACCAATACTCCTATTTTATTATAATGAACGATTAAATTAAAATGGACACCGATAACATAAACCAATACTATTTATTAGTTATCTCTCCATTGCCTTGCCACGATGCCTATACACTAAACACGTTCATTTCATTTGCTCTCCGTACTACCAGCAGTTCGGACACGCGTAACATCTAAAATATTTACAATAATAATTTTATATTATTTTATTATACNATTATAATGAACGATTAAATTAAAATGCACACCGATAACATAAACCAATACTATTTATTAGTTATCTCTCCATTGCCTTGCCACGATGCCTATACACTAAACACGTTCATTTCATTTGCACTCCGTACTACCAGCAGTTCGGACACGCGTAACATCTAAAATATTTATAATAATAATTTTATATTATTTAATTATACATTGTTGTTATAATATACGGTGCCCGTAAACACATGGAGCTCATCGACGTTCGTGGTGTCATGGTACCTCACCGTGCTTTGCATGTGGAGGGAGACGGTTCATGTTTTTTTTATTCACTTTCGTATCACATGTATAGCACCGTCTCACATGCGCCTCATTTACGGGCGAGTGTCGTACAATACGATTGTAACAATTGGCAACGGTTTGAACCGTACAGTATGATGCCGTGTAGTAATATTTACAGAAATATTAACGAATATCATGCTCACATGTCCCTTCCTACCACTTATGCCACCCCTTGTGACATTCACGCTGCTTTTGAAATATGCCCGTACCATTTAGTGGTATACAGAGATGGCGATGTTATTTTACAGCCGGACGAGTACTTGGAAGAAAAGTTAATATTTCATTTTAAGTGCACTGGTCCTATGATGAACGCACATTTTGAACCACTTATTCCTCTATATGCCCCTTCTTCTCCTTCAAATGTACTTACCGTCTGTACTTCATTTGTCTCAGGCAGTACTGCCAAACCACATGCAATATCTGAATGCCAACAGTTGTCATCGGACAACAGTTCTATAGTAATTAATGAAAAAAGTAGAAAAAGGACGAAAACGAATTTGCATAAAAAAATAGTTAGCACACAACAATATTACCCATAACATTTTAAAATAATATTGTAAATATGAAAAAAAATATACACAAAAATGAAGCCGGATAATTATAAAAAAAAGCAAAATCAATTGATTAAGTATAACAAATATATAGCACTCAACAATATTACCGATATAATTACACATGTGGCTACAAATTTAATATTATATAATTTACATTTAAAAAGACATTATTTTTTTCGACAACGCTTCAACAGCGTTTTACACATAAAAGGAGTTTTTCCGGGTAACGCCCGGATTCATTTAGGAATACACAGTCCGCATTGTATAGCATTATTTCTTTCCCCTGTCCTGTATATAATATATTATTATACATATGTATTATTCATGTATAGTGGTTTATTTTCCCCGAAGTGCTACGACCGAATAAAAATACATTAGGGTGTTGTTCACGCGCATAATAGAATACGAAATGGAATAGAAAATACAGCATTTACCACGGTCATCTGCTATCCACCTCGAAACTGGTTCCGAAGAATGTCGAGACCACCCTCGACGACGCACACGGCTTGCAGCTGCCACAATATAAAAAAGTATTCTATTGTATCAGGTACGGTTTGAAATATTTTACATTTGGTTTATTACGTACTACCCTATCGAAAGATCCCCAAACCAAACGCGCGTCGAAACACACACAAATACACGTGCAACGTTACCACGCTTCTACTCAGACAACATAATATTAGAATTGATGTTAGAAGGGAGAGTTTTTTTTTCTTCTATCTTATTTTATTTATTTGATCACCAAACAATTAACAAAAGAATTACAATCACACACATTGCACAACAAATAGATAAACAAAATTTATCTTCCTTCTATAAGCTGGGCTTGTGGCGAAGGTAAAGAGTTATTGATCACAAAGATAATTATTCGATTAATTTACTATATGTTATATTTTTGCTTGAAAAACACGTATTATCTTTGANACAAAATTTATCTTCCTTCTATAAGCTGGGCTTGTGGCAAAGGTAAACAGTTATTGATCACAAAGATAATTATTCGATTAAATTACTATATGTTATATTTTTGCTTGAAAAACACGTATTATCTTTGATTTATTAGTGTAACCACTGTCATAGTTGAGGAGTTGGAAGGATAATAGAGGGAGAATGTAATGTATATCTGTAACAACGATAAACCATTGCAGAAGAAAAACCATTCTGATAGTGTTGCTTTGTTAACAATATACATGCCATTTTATGGTAAAATATATTAAATTACTTAGGCATTATATATTTTGTTTAATAATTTTTAGTTTAATATTGTACCTTTTTTCCCGATTTTTTTTTTTCGGTTATCCCGGTTTCCTTATGGTTATTTTTTAATTTTCTTGTATATTTTGGGAAAACTCCTAAAAAAACAACAAACAACTTCAAAGTACCTCCTCAGTAAGATTTCTTTTTAGAAAAAATGCTATCATTGTAAATCGGACCAAGATTGTAAACTATTTTGTANACATACAAGCGCGACCCTGAGGGGTTAGAGAAGGACGATTGTTGAACAATTTATAGGTATGTTAATTGTTCGAGTTTTGTACGTTATTTTTATACTAGCTTATCACATAAATATTCATCGAATTGAGAACATTAGTATAGAGAAATTATTGACCAAATTGTTGTAAAACTCTATTGAAACAAATTGTGTTGTGGCTGCAGCAACCTCAGCCCTCCCAACTGATACGCCACCGCTGCTGTATAGGTACCAAAAATCAGCATATGGGTATAGATTAAAACTATAATTTAAACTTCCTATACTATTATAGATAATTATGTTAGTGTGTGTAAGTCATGAAAAGTGGCGTAGCTATCTCTAATTATATTATAAAAAGAACGTTTATGTTTGTAAGAACGGCTAATAACTGTTAATAATTGAATAATGCATCTATATTGTTTTATTTCATACCTATCATACCTATCATCACTAAAACAATTAATTAAAAATATTATAATGTTCTTCAGGAGTTTGACGATTTAAATGCCATAACATTAACTGTAAATATGACTTTAATAGTGCATGTTCTGTATCAACAATTAATTCTGAGTACAATTTCGAAACTCTTTCATAGGTATTTTATGTTTTTCCAAAACATGGAGAACGTGAAATATACAAAGTAATGTAAAACTACTCGACCAATATAATTATAGTCGATNAGGAGAATATGATAGTCAGGTTTGCGGCAGTTAACCGCCTACAGGACTGCCGTTGCTGTCGTGCGACGATCGCCCGTATTTATGAATCCCTGGTACAAGATACCACAGCATTACCAGCAATTCCTGTGTTATTGTCCACTGTGGTGAATACAAAATAAAAACCTTAACCTAGAAAAGTCTATCAGATGTTACACTATTTTACGATAACATTATCACAAGGATATGACCACAACCATCGTATTTGTAATCTTCATTATAATACGTTTAGTATCAATCAATTAAAACCACGTTTGTTGGACCCGGTAACTTTCATTTGTGTATAAATTGATATGGGTATGCAGATTACCATAGATAATAATTGATATACAAGCTTTAACACTATAGCAGAAAGTTCCATATATCAGAAAATAATTAGATACCAAAATCTTCTAATTTTAGTATTATATTATCTATGTAATATTTGTATTTTGATGCTATATTTTATTTCTAAATATTTAGGTTTATAATATTTATATACCAGGTGATTATTTCAAAAATATAAACTTTATTCTGAATTTGTTATCTAGAATATTTAAGAAACTAAGTGCTTTATAACTTTATATTTGTGTCTTCCTTATTTTTGTGGATGTAACTATTACTAACAACTGTTTTTTTTCAAAAAGCTAATAATAGTTTAAAAAAAATCCATAAATAGATGAAGTATTAATGAAAATACATTTTTAGTATTGAATTTAAAAAACAAATTACAAAAAAATTATTTCTTTCTGAGATAATGAGTGTACTCATATCAAAAAAATTTATTTGAAAACAAATAATTAAAAGCTATCTAAAACGCACAGCTAATGTTAACATCAACCAAATGTCATTACTCCATAAAGGTACCTACATAATAATAATTGTTCAATAGTTTGCCAAATAATATTTAGCATGTTATATTTAATTTATTATTTGAGAGAACATGGAGCTTTTTAAATGCATATTATACAACAACAATCGTTAAAAAAAACCCAGTATCTCCCAAACCAATTAACACATCCTAATCTCCCAAATGCCAAACACTCCCACTTATTAATTAACCAATTACTAAATTTAAGTCAACCTGTATCATAACTAAACATTTCATTACACATTTGGAAAGATATTGTACACTGTTTTGTTCTATTGTTGTGTCAGTCATATCTGTATGCAATATTTGATTAAATATTGTTTTTTATAATTGAACAATCCATTCCATTGCTAGGTCATGTGGAGTGTAAGTATATTCTTTCTATAGTATATGTACCTATATTTCATTTCAAATTATTATTCCAATTTTCATTGTAACATTATTGATACACAAAATACATTTTATTTTATAATATTGTGGCATACCACTACATTACAGTTCAAATAATAGTTTAAAACAATTGATAAAATGGGTATACTTAAAGTGTACAAAACTATCAGTCATATTTTCACTTTTTTCGTGTTTTAGAAATTCTTAGCAATGTCTTCGATTAATTTCTGATTTATTTTCATATTCCACCATTGTCTTGCACAATACCATATAGACAAGCAAAATTGCGATCAGAATTTTCACCTGATGTTTCTATCGAAAAATCACAATATTTGGAAACAGGATTCTTAAGGATTTCCAAAGGACCCTGTAATCTTGTTTTGGTTAGTTATAGTTTATATAATTTGAAAATTTGATAAAGAATTATTTTTATGGTAATTTTTTTCCTTATTACTTTAAGAAATAAAGTCTTGTTTATTAAATCTTGAAAAGATGGTGTGTATGTTAAAATCTTTCAAATGTTGGTATTTCCTTTTATGTCTTCCTCAAACCTTAAAGAAGAAATAGAAGGAAATATCTAAGAAAAATGTGGAAAATACTCCAAATCTTCAACAAATAATATCCAAAATGATAAAATACTTTGGAAAAAACTGTAAAAGAAATTCTTAACCAAATTTTTAAAACAACATTAAAAATCAAAACTAGATTACAGAGAATCCACTGGAAATTTTAAAGAAGCCTATTTCCAAACATGGAATCTTCAATAGACTCATACAAATGAAAGTTATGATTTTAATTTCGCTTGTCATTTAAAAGATGGATGCAATTTTATTACAAATTGTTACGAGGCATTTTAACGCCATATGGCATTGTGCAAGACGATTATGGAAGATAAAACTAGATCAGAATTAGCTTTTAAGATATTTTTCAATTAAATGTGTTTTGTTGTTTTCCTTTTTGTCCTTCCAAATGCAAAGCTGTAATAAATTCAATTAATTAAAATCAATTGTAATATGCAAACATCAATGAAATAATTATACTTACAGTATCCTTTTTCATATAATCCATTTTCTTCGGATAGGAATATGGAGAAACCTTATCCATGTTCATGAGAATTTTACTATAAATACAATAAAAAAAAATTACTCATATGAATGTTATAATGAAATGTCAATATTTTGATGATCTTAACATTAACCGTGCACTTTGGATAGCTCTTAATTATTTGTTTTCCACTACATTATTTTAATGTTATTCAGATCATGACTACAATTTAAACCAACAAAAAAGACCTTATTAAGTCTTTTGTATGGATACTACCAGGTGATTAATTTAGGCGAGTATACTCATTATCAGGGAAAGAATTCATTTTCCTCCAATTTGTATACTAGGATATTTAAGAAACAAGCTACTCATTTATTTTTTTATTTATTTTATTTTTTTTCACTCGTACTTTGCTTAGTAAAGCTACTACCTACTTTTAATTTTCAAATGCCAACCTGTATAAGGAGGTCAATTTTTTTAAATATAGGTTGCAATTTGAAAAAACAGAAGTAGGTAATATTTTCATACCCAAAATTAAGGGTGACAAGCAAAAAACACAAATATAAAATTGTAAAGCACTTTGTCACTTAAATATTCTAGAAAACATATTCAGAAGAAAGTTTATAGTTTCGAGATAATGAGTGTACCCATTTAAATAGATCCCCCAGTATAAAAATTTAAAAAACTTTATACAAACATATAGCCACAACATACAAATATTACACTGAATTTAGAAGGTATCTATTAATTTTATTGAGATAATAAACCTTCTGCTATAATGATGAAGCATTTTGTTACCATTTCATTGACCTAAAGAAAGGTAATATAATGAAGACAGGTGCAGCCACAACTGTTGGTGGGAAGTTGGGAAGATAGGTTATAAATGAAATTTAATTTATATCTGTAGGTAATTTTTTTTTACAATTGCTGGGTATACTCTTAGCTAAATCAAATAATAACCTCTCTCAAGTAGGAATTTCAAGAAGAATTTAGGTACCTACCTAAATTTAATTAAACAGTATTTTCTACTGTAATTTTTTTGTTTTGCAATGCCAGTTTATTTTATTTCAAGTTGGACTGTGTCTGAATTAGATAAAAGCAAATAGATAGAATGAAGGTATGGTCCACCTTTGGTGAACTAAGAGTGTTCTATTGTGCAATTTGTTAATGATTTTCTTATCAAAACTATCTAAATACCAAATACTTTTCATTATAAATCAGAGCTCGTCGACAGACAAAAATAAATAAACAATAGGTTTTGTAGATTATCCGAAAGTTGTCAATGGAAAGATTGTTTTTTCCAATTATTTCGAAAACATTTTGGAAAATTAGAAAATGACCTCCTCAATGCACCAAAGAATATAAACAAATAATAATAAAAGGTGTTTAATGC